AATGTTCATGTTGAAATGAAAATTAAAAAGATAATACCATTTATCAATACTCCAATGAAATTAATTTTCAGGTATAAATTTCAAAATATGTGTATAGGATTTGTATGTTGATAATTACAAATACTAATGAAAGAAATCAAAGAAAACTTCTACAGAAATGAAGAGTTATACTATATTCATAGATTCAGAGACTCAAGATGATAAAGATATCAGATCTTCTTGAATTGACCTATAGGTTTCATGCAATTGCTATTGAAATTCCTGGAAAGTAGAAATGGGAATGTAGCTTAGTGCTAGAGCACTTGCCTAGATGAGCATGGCACTAGGATGGATCCCCAGAACCAGAAAACAAGAAACAAAAAGAAATTCCAGTGAGGTTTGTGTGACTATAAATAAGCTTATGATGAAATTTATAAAGAAAACAAGCAGCACACAATCGTTAACTAGCTATAGTAGCTTTGCAAAGAAAAAAAAAGAGGACTCACTTCACTTGATATTTAAGCCTACCATACAGATACACAAATCAAGGACCATAGTATTGGCAGATGGATGGATATATAAGTATAGAATAAAGAATTAAGAAATCAACACATAAACCTGCACAGTGGATTTTGAAAAAGAAGTGCAAAAGCAATTCAACAGAAGAAGCATAGTCTTGTTCAACAAATGGTGTTGAAGCAACTTCCTGTCCATGGAAAACAACTAAAACTTGACTTAAGTAAATCTCATAGCTTATACAAATACTAACTCAGAAAGGGCTTACCAACTTAAAAGTAAAGTATAAAGCAAAACATATTTTGACATATCTTCTACTTTAATAATTAAGCATTGAAAATAAGAAAAAAATCATTATGGCCAAGAGCTAGACAAAGAATTCTTATATGTCATACCAAAAGCATGATTTTTAAGTAGAAAAATTCATAATTTGAAACTCATTGAAATTAAGAATATTTGCTTTACAAAAGAACATAAGATGAAGAAAACATAAATTACATTCTTGCAGAAAATATTTGTAAATCACTAATCCAAAAAAGGGAATTGTATCCAGACATAAAAAACAACTTAAAACCATAATAAAGAAGATACAAAAATTCAATTATAAAATGAAAAAATACATGGGCAGAAATATTACTGAAGAGGAATGAGATGAAAAATAGCACATAGAAAAGCTAGCCATCCTTAGTCATTAGAGAAATACAAATTAAAATCCAATAAGATACTAGGATAAGCCTATGAGAATGGCTAAAATTAAATACAATGACAATACCAAATACTGCAAGTATGTGGAGAAACTGTACTATTGTTAGTAGGGATGTAAAATGGTACAGTTACATTGGAAAATAGTTTTGCAGTGTTTTATAAAACTAAACATGCAGCTACCTTACAATTCATATTTACCCTTGAATATTTACCTAGAACAATGTAAACTTATTTTTACCCCAAATTCTTGTGTGAATGTTCATAGAAGTTTTATTTTTAATAGCCCCAAACTGGAAACAACCCAGATGCCATTCAGTGGGTACTTGTATATGTATTAGCATGCCCTTATCATGGAAAAGTCTTCAGCAATAAAAAGGATAAAATATACTTACATACAATATTTTGTATGGATTGCAAGGAAATTATGCTGAATAAAAAATCTAATTCCAAAGTGTGTATATTGTATGATTTCATTTATACTGCAATTTATAAAATTATAAATAGGAAGATTGTATTAGTAGTGGCCAGTGATTTAGAATTGGGTAGAGAGAGTTATAACTTTAAAATGACAACAGGAGAATTGCATGAAGTGATGCTATTGTCTTATATCTTGAGAGAATTGAGTAAATATCCTGATTATGATAGTGTACTACGGTTTTGCAAAATGTTACCATTGAGCAAATTTTGGTAAAGGATATGTGGATCTTTCTATATTATTTCTTGCAACTGAACATGATTCTGCAATTATCTCAAGAACTATATTTTAATTAAAATGCTGTGTCAAATGATTTACCATGGCTTGGAGCCTTGGCACATGCCTATAATCCCAGTGATTTGGGAGGCCAAAGAAAGAAGATCTCAAGTTCAAGGCCTACCTCAGCAATTTAGCAAGACTCTCGGAATTTGGCAAGACCCTTCAAAATAAAAAGGACTGGGAACACAGAGTAGTTGTAGAACACCCATAGATTCCATCCCTAGTATCCCCCCAAACAACAACAAAACAAATAAAATAATGTGTTATCATTTTTGGTGGCACTGGGGTACTTGTATGTGCAATAGCTAACTTTGCATATAAAACTGCTAATAGGGCATGACTCTGAAAATATGAATCAAAAATTAAGAGGTGAAGAATATAGGGAAATTTATTTTGTGTAAAGTAAAGTTGTTTCTATAGATGACAATACAAAAAAAAACCCCAAAATGTTACACAGCTCTTTCATTTGCTTTATCATGAAACATAATAAGGTAAAAATTCAAAGAGAAAATATTTTAAAAGCCATGCACCATGGAATAAAGAATTATCTAGCATCATTCTTTCAAAATAAAGGTAAGGGAGCAGAAAAACTTTTGTTCATTATAATGATAGTTATCTGAACTATTTCCATTATTAGCAACATTTATTTGTGTATCTTTATTAAATGCAAATTATCTATACATAAAAGGCTTGTTAAGCCATTTAATTGATAAGTTAATGCACAGAACAGCAGCAGTATCTTTGAATAGAAGCTTATATGTTCAACTTCTGAAATTCTTTGCAAGTGGATTATTTAAATAATAATAATAATAATAATAATAATAATAATAATAATAATAATAATAATAATAGTGATTATTTCTGGCCTAGTAGTTAGCAATGTGCTAAAATGTCAATGCCCTTGGACTTCCCTCACATCAACACCAAGGCTTGCTATTTCAACTGCTATTTATAAAGATTTGGAGTATCTATTTTCAATTTGGAAGACATAGGAAGCTCATTAGCTTCACATTCATTGGCATACTTGAATTTTTTAAAAAATTAATTTGTTTGTTCTAATTTGTTGTACATGACACCAGAAGGCATTTTGATTCATAGTACACAAATGCGGCACAACTTTTCACTTCTCTGGTTGTACACAAAGTAGAGTGGCAAGTTTCTGTTTTTTTTTTTTTTTTTAGTATATTACTTTCTCATGGATGCCATTTGACACACATTAAACTTTCAGCCTTTGTCTTTTAGTTTCACCTTCCATTTAAATGTAGAAACATGAAAATATGACACACGTCATTGTTTTGGAAACTTCAACCCTTCATTCATTCTTATAAATACACATAATTATGGGGCATTTCAATGAGGTTTCTTGGAGCATTGAATCTAACCATATATTTAAACACATAAAAGAAATGCAATTCAGATTACTAATGTGCTACATTATTTTCCCATCAACAGTAAATAATGAAATGAAGTGTTAGACTCTGGAAATTCAACTCAATCCTAATCTCACTCAAATGGGGACACACATTTGCCTATCTTGAAGAATTACCTCCACACGTGCAAAATTAATCATAGATAACAACTTTAAAAAATAATCAGCAGATAAGAAATTAAAATCAAGTGACTTGGTATAGTGAGAACAGCTGGTTCAATCAGTACTCTTTAACTGTAATAGCATGACATTATTTATCAATGCCCCCACAGAACCCCTATTTCTATTAAGAATTATGTTTGAACATATAATAATTGGTAAATCCCAAGATAAAGAACAAGTGTTGCCCAAGGAACAACACATTTGTTATTTTAAAAATCCAGTGGAAATTTATCTCAAATACAACAATTTATAATCCAATACATTTTCCAACATTAACTCTAAAGTATGTTATCAGTATTTAAAGATACATTTATGTCTAAATTTAATAACTTTGACCTAGTTTAATGTCTTAAGACATTGGAAGCCATAGCTCAGCATGATGATAATTGTTATAGGTGACTGTGATAGGGAAATATGGTCCTTATAAGTAGGAATGGGAGGTGCCAATCATAATTTCAGAAGTAGAAGTTGAATTTTTATTTGAAAAAAAGAAATATTAGGTGCTTCAGAAGTCTCAGCATGGCCAAGACAGTCCCTCCAAGTCAAGAATCAACTTGTCTCAGAGTTTTCTTTATTTATTTGAATAAGATAAAATATAGAAAGGCAAATAAATAAATTTAAACACACCTTCCATATGTCTATATCTAGCTTTCTAATGTTCTAATAGTATAATGACATTCATGATCACTCATGGAGACTATGATTCATAATCCATGAAGGGCTAAATGCTTAAACTGAGATTTTTTAACTGCTAATGTGTTACATGGATACTGTTTCAATGCATTATCATTAAACAAACTGCATATGTCTCTCCCACAAGCTGACAAAGATGTGAAGATGTGTGATGAGTTTTCTTGGGGATAATGGCACAGACTTTGTTATTAACTTTGGTATTGGCCCTGAGAGACTCAGAAAAATTTTGGGTATTGATCTAGCAATTTTAGTTAACAAAACAATACAGAACACAATTTTTGTATTTCCTAACTTGGCAATGCTATCTTCCTCTTCCTGTGCACATACACACATTACCTAAATCATCTTTGCAGATGTGTGTGAACCAGAGGTATCTCTGCTCTATCTGTCTGTGAAGGGCAATAACAAAATGTTACAACCCATTTAGCAATAAACTATGCATCCTTTCTGCAAGTCTTTGCTTACATTTTATTTCCAACATTTTACCTCCTGTATAAATTTTATTTCATAGTCTTTAGTAATTTCTGGCAACATAAGTAGATACCCAGATGGCATCTCTTTTCTCCATAAGCTAGAAATAATGTCTCAATATAAATTCCAATCCCATCTTTTTTTATGATTTAGCTTCTAAATTTTAGAAAGCAGCAACACAAGCAAATATTGAGACAATACCTTTAGCTGAAAGAGATAGCAACAGATTTTAAGTATGAGGATGTAGCATGTGATTTCATTGATACAATGGTAATGGAATTAAAACAATACCTGATGACACAGGCGTAAAGACCACTGTCCTGCAGCAATGTTGGTCGGAACCAAATGGAGTCTTCTTCCTTGCTCATTCTACTACCATCAAAAGCAATTGGCTCTTCAAAGTCTCCAGGACCAGAGCTTTTGTACCACATCAAACTGAGTCCAGCACTTTGAGCAAGGGAGTAATTTGCTCTGATATAACCATAAAAAAGTGCGCATTTGATTCGAACAGGCTCTCCCACCAAAACTTGGTATTTCTTGATATCGACAGACCAATCTGTGCATCCATCAGCTACAGTAAAAAGAGACAGAAAAACAATAGATAAAAAATTAAGCAATGAGTTCATTCATTCATTCATTTAATAAACGTTTAATGAATATCTACATATATGCAGATTTACTCAAGACAAAGAAAATGTAACAGGGAACAAAACTCAGAAGGAGCATGAAAAGTAGTTTACCCTGCTAGTAAACAATGGATTCTTTACTTAGTCTGCTCCTGTTGGTACTTATTTTTACTTTATAACAGTAGGTTCATTAGTATTTATTATCCCTCAGTTCTTAATATACTTCTTTGCCTGCTCTGTGAAAATAGATTTGGACCCTAAAAATATTTCCTTTGCTAGCAGGTATTCAAGCTTTGTCAGTAGAGGGTGCTGGAGAGACATTACAGGAGGAAAGGGTTTTTGCTTCCTAGTCCCAGCATGCTTGCTTGACAGGTTCTTGTAAGTGTACAAGTCTTCTCCAGCAGCTGGCTCCTGCAGGCAGCAGCTTGACAATTTTTTTTTTAGCAGAGTCTCAGGTAATACAACTTCTCATGAATAGCTTTACCAAGAATATAATAGGGAGTGTCTGTGTGAACTTCCAGAGGGCAGGTTTCTAACAAGTTCTGATAGCACAGCACCTCATTGACTTCTGCCATTCAGTTAATCATGATTTTACCTTTCCAATAAGACTTGAAACTCTACTTATGGATAGAAGTATGGGAACTTTTCTTTGGGTGGTCTGTTTCATCCCTAGGGATTATGGCAGTTACTCTTCTACTCCTTCATGTTATTTTTTGCTATGAACTGAATGTGACCGCAATTTATAATTTGAAAAACTAACAACCAATGTGATGGTGTTTGAAGATTAGACCATAGGGAGGTAATTAGAGTAAGATGAGGTCATGAGGCTGTGGCTTTTCTAATAGGATTAGAGCACTTATAAGAAGAGACTTGGGAAATTGTCCCTTGTGCTCACAAGACAAAGAAAGAATGTAGTCATCTGCAAGCCAGGAAGAGAGTCATCACCAGAAACTAACTATTTGGCTTCTTGATTAAGAGCTTTCCAACTATCAGAACTTGGAGTAATAAATTTCTATTTTTCTAAGCCATTTAGTCTATGATATTTTGATATGGCAACATAAATAGAATAATATATATTCCTTTCATACTAGCCATTCCTTTCATTACTCCAATCTGTTGTTGCATTTAATACCTATTTATAAAATATTTCTCTTTCAAACTACTATGCAGATTTTTCCTGCTGATATGACTCTGATAAAATCAGGAATAAAGATCTTATAGCTAGCAAAATAACAAGAAATAAAAATAGAGTTGTTAGCAAGAAAATAAATTAGGCATCACTCAAAATATGTGAATGATGAACAAAAGGCAAAGACCAAGAATAAAAGGACCTCTAACAGCAGTAACAAGCAGTGTTCAACTCCACAAATGAAAAAGAAGTCAACCCAAATGCTGTGAGAACAAGATGAACAACTTAAAATTCAAGAGAAGGAAAAATGATCGAAATGAAAAGAAATATGTACATTAGAACAAAGAAGACAAATAACAAGACACGGAATTAATTATTAATTTAAAAATAATTTGTACTATCTACTAACAACTTATATATTCACCAGTGAATTTACAAATTTTGATTTATGTTTCATATAAACATCCATTATGGTTTTGGAACTTGCTGCTCCCTTTGTCTGAAATCTTTTTTAAGTACCAGGGATTTAACCCAGGGGTACTTAACCACTGAGACACATCACAGCCCTTTTTAACTGTTTTCTTATGAGACAGGGTCCAGCCACTGGGGTTACAGGTATGTATCAACATGCCTGGCTTGTCTGAAATGTTTGAAACCATTGAGTTGCATGGCTTTCTCTCCTCTTTCTATTTCCCTCTAAATATCACTTTGCGAAAGAGGCTTTTTCTGATTGTCCTGTATGAAATATTGTCTTACCATCCTGGTAACTTGATCTGGATTCTGGTTTAATATATTTCATAGGACTTAGTTTTATCCAAAATTATATTGCATTACATTTTGCATTCATTTGTTCCTTTGGTTTTGGTCTCCTCAACAGAATGTAAGATCCTTGAGATCAGGGACTTTTTTCTTGTCACTCACTTCTTTGAAAATCCTGGTGCCTAGAAGTACCTGCTAGCCAGCTTAGCATACATTTACTAAACACATGAGTGAATAAATAAACAAATTAATGAACAAACCATAAATTGAAGCAACTCCATGTCCCCTCACAAGTGCTGCGATTATAACCCAGCTATGCCTGAATCCAGAATTCATTCTTTCTATCACTATGTATTATGTTTGTACATAAAGGTGTCAATTTCAAACTACTGTTTGATATAGTCTATTTTATTTACCCAATTAGAGTCTAAGATTCTTAATAAAGGAATTGAGTCATGATAGAGAGTAAATATGCAAGAAGCTTGGTGGAAATCATCAATGTCACTCATTGCCATCATTCCTGTAAATGACAACTTCAGAGCTGGAATCATACACTAAAGAGGATAAAAGCACTGTACAAACATATGTCAAGGTTACATAAATGCATAGGGTATTTGTCAATGCAGTTTTGTACATTTCTCCATTACACAAAATGAATCCTAGGCAGGATTTTATTTTAAAGGTTATAATTTCAGTGACAAGCATGGCATTATCTTGTGTTGCCACAATGTGAACTACAGCATAATTCTGGAATCAAGTAATTGTAACTGAGGATAGCACTGCTAGTGAAAAGATTGAAATACCTTCAAGGTAGAAGTTTAAAGAGTAAGATGAAATTATTCAAAGTCTTAGAAGATTTGTAAGATAAAGCAAAATGCTTAAAGGTAAAAGCAAAAAGATTTAGTTTAGAAAGTACTAAAAAGATACTAACAAATTAGATTAAGAGAACAGAGGGAGAATTGTACTGGAAATATATGCATATAGATATTAATACATACTTCAGTATAGGCCGAGTTAAATGTTGAAAAAAAAAGACAAATATTCCTGAAAAGTAAAGTTATTCTGAACTTCAATATCAGTCAGGTGGGATATTTCAAGCAGCTGGGTCATGTGGCAAGGAAAAAACAGAGGGAATGATGAATAAATTATAGCACTTTGGACAATAGAGACACTTTGTATTCATATTAATATGGAAATAGATAAAGGATCTATGATTTAGGAGGTTTTGCCAAAATTCCATTAGTGGCATGCTGCTCAAAAATGAACTGTCAAATTATTGAGATGTTTTTAGTATTCTTGGAAAAAGATGGCAAATACAAAAAGGAATAATTTGAGATATTGTCAAATTATTTGTGTAAATGTATTTAAATAAATGATGGACTTATGTCCCCTTTCAGTATTTACAGTAAAATATTTTAGTAATTGAAAGAAGTGATAACATATTTTCTTTCTTCCTTTGTTAACATTTTGCCTCAATTGTTCACATTCTCTTATTCTGTGTCCATGAATGACATTTTTTCTTAAATCCAGTCAAAATAAATTAGAGTCATGACGACACTTTACTCCAAAATATTTCAGCATCTTCTTCTTAATAAAGGTATTTTTGTCATATTATCACAAGTTATTCTTTTCCATTTTATGAAACAAAGCATCTCAAATCTTAAAAATACATATAATAATATAAAACTAAACTCTTCAAAAATATTTTTAGTTATAGATGGACACAATAATTTTATTTTACTTATTTATTTTTATGTGGTTCTGAGGATCAAACCCAGTGCCTCACACATGCTAGGCAAGTGCTCCACCACTGAGTCACAAACCCAGTCCCCTATAAGTAAACTCATGATGACCAGAATTACTGATACATTCAGTTTTTCCTTATTTCAGCACACAATATCTTATGGGAATGATCATTTCAAAAGTACATTTCTAGATACTGTTCATTCTATTATGAAAGTTACCACGTTTACTACTTTTTGAAAAATTATCATCAAGTAATTATACAGACTAGTAATAATTTGTATTTTTTTTTCCTTTCAGAATCAAATACCCTTGTATAAAGCCTCTCATAGAAAAGTTCCCTGATGGGAAGATTCCAAGGAAATACTGTATTTCAATACAACTTTGGAGTACAAATTCCATAGAGCAAATGGGAAGCAAAAAGAAAAAAAATGTGTCAGGGGGTATGAATAAAAAGCACCCATCTTCATTCCTTTTTGTTACCATCGACAAATTTCCAAGAAGTTCCAAGTACTTATACAAAGAACATATATATTCCAAGAACTTATATGAGGACAGTGGAAGAATTGAGATTTGAGACTAATTATTTTTTGAGAGTTTATAGTGAAGTATAATTTCAAGAACAAAAGCTACATATGCTGGATAATGTCAATATATTCAAATAAGATCAGAAAAAGTATTCTTAATTAAATCACTATTACTACATATGTAAGAGCTCAAAATATTTCCATGGTAACAAGCTCAAAGGTTGAATCCTTAAAAAAAAATCTTAGTAAAGAATTGCACATATTACATCCTATATGAAAATGTAAGACTTTATTTATAAAAGGGTGAATTATATTACTTTTAAAGTATCTAATTGGAGAGGTATGTTAGAGTAATTATAAAACATAAAAAAGTTTTATATACACTATGATAGTGTAGGAGATGCTCCATCTTGGTCCTTTTTTACTAAGCTGATACATCCCATCTTCAACTCATTTGAGCACTGAGTGCTAACAGCTCACAGTCATTTTTTCTTGAAAATTACTTTTTGTTATTTTTTTAAAATAATGTTGGTATATTATACTTATACATAATAGTGGTATTTGTTGTTACATATTTGTTTATGTACAAAATATAACAATATAATTTGGTTAAATACAACAATATAATTTGGTATCTCCACAGTAACTCCCCTCTAGTGTCCCCCTGGCCCTTTCCTCTATGAAAATTATTTTTGACTGACAAAAGCAACCTTCTGAAAAATTGACACTCCCTTGGCCCACTGGTAATAAGGGACTGATGTGGGTTTGTAAAAGATACATTCCTTTC